GATACTACAATAAGCTACCTTGTGCAAATATAAATTAAATTATATTTAATTAAATAATATAAATATAAATTAAATAAGATATAAATAAATAAAATAAAAAATAAATAAACTTGTGGAAACCTAAATTAAAAACACATTACCATTTACAATAACTCCAAAGGGAATGAAATACTTAGATATAAATCTAACAATATATGTACATAATCTATATGTGGAAAACTATAAAACTGTGATGAAGGAAACCACAGAAGCCTAAAAAGATAGGGAAACATACAGTGTTCATGAATTGGAAGACTCAACATAGCAAGGATGTCAATTCTCCCCAAACTGATCAACAGCTTTCATGCAGTTTCTAATAAAATCCCAGCAAAGTTTTTCTAGACATAGATAAGCTTATTCTAAAATTTATGTGGAAAGGCATAGGTCCTATGATAGACTTTTAAAATCTTGAAAATATAAGAAGAAAGTAGGAGTAATTCTATTCAATATTAAGTCTTAATATGTAGTTACAGTAATCAAGACAGTGTGGTATGAGTGGAAGGATAAACACATAGATCAATGGAAAAAAATAGATATAAACCAGAAATAGACCTATACGATTATGCCCACCTGATTTTTGACAAAATTACAAAAGGAATTCGATGGAGGAAAGATAACTTTTTCAACAAATGGTGCTGGAGCAATGAGACATCCATAGGCAAAGAAAGAAAGAAAAGAAAACCCCAACCTAAATCCAACAATTTATACAAAAACTAACTCAAAATGGATCACAGACTTAAACATAAAACACAAACTAAAAATTTTTAGGAAAAAAACAAGAGGAAATCTTCAGGATTTAGGGCCAGGCAAAGATTTATTAGATTTAACACCAAAAGTATGATCCATAAAAAAGAAAAATGGGTGAATTAGAATTCAACAAAATTAATAACTTTTGCTCTGAGAAAGTCTGTGTGAAGAGGATTAGAAGACAAGCTATGGACTGGGAGAAAGTATTTGCAACCCACATTTCTGACAAAAGACTAATATCTATAATACAAAAAGAACTCTCAAAACTCAACAGCAAAAAAAAAAAATCCATTTGGATTATGGGCAAAAGACATGAATAGACATTTCACCTAAAAGGATCTACAAATGCCACAAAAGCAAATGAAAGATGTTCAACATCATTAGTCACCAGGGAAATGCAAATTAAAACAACAATGAGATATCACTATACACTTAATAGAATGGCTAAAAAAATAATAACACCAAATTTTTTTGAGGATGCAGAGAAACTGGATCCCCCACGTATTGCTGGTGGGAATATAAAATGAGACAGGCACTCTCAAAAGCTGTTTGCCAGTTTCTTATAAAACTAAACATGAAACTACCATAAAACCCAACAATTGCAGTCTTGGGTGTTTATCCCAAAGAAATGAAAACCTATGTTCACACAAAAGCCTCTACAGAGACATGAATGTTCATGGCAGCTTTATTTGTAATGGGCAAAAACTGGAAGCAGCCCACATGTCCTTTACCAAGTGAACGGGTAAACACACCATACCATCCCCACCAGTGCATACTGCTCAGCAGTAAAAAGGAATGAAATATTGATATGTTCAATAGTTTAGTTGAATCACAAGGGAATGGTGCTAAGTAATGAAAAAAAACCCTCAAAGATTACATATTGTATGATTCCATTTGTATAACAGTTTTGAAATGAGAACATTTTAGAAATGGAGGACAAAATGGTAGTTGCTCGGGGGTAGGAGGTTGGGAGGGTGAAGTGAGTGTAGCTATAAAAGGCAACAGGAGGGATCTTGGAGGTGTTGGAACTGTCCAGTGTCTTGTCTGTCATGGTAGATATACGAACCTAGACATCTGATAAAATTGTGGAGAGGTAAACACACGCATGAGTACAAGTAAAACAGGAAGAGTCTGAAAAAGATCAGAGGATTGTCTTAGTCAATATCCTGATTGTGATATCACACTGTAGTTTTGCAGAATGTTACCATTAGTGTAAAATAGGCAAAATGTATACACTTTTCCCTATTTCTTACAATTGCATGTGAATCTACAATTATTTCAATAAAAATTTCAATTAAAAAAAGATAGTTTGGGAGGTTTCAGTGATGAGTTTCATAAAAAGTAGTACATTCCTGATCTTTAAAAAATGGATGTTTAATTTCTAATTGTAGTGAAACAAAAATAGTAGCTCGAAATGCTAAGGAGAACGCAACGAAACTGGGTCACTTAGGCATTGTTAATGGGAATGTAAAATGGTACAGCCACTCTGGAAAATAGTTTGTCAGATTCTTGTGAAACTAAACATACAATTACCATACATCTCAGCAATTGCCTTCTTAGCTATTTATCCCAGAGAAATGAAATCTTATGTTCATACAAAAATCTGTACACGAGGGTTTAGAGAAGCTTTATTTGTGATAGCTAAAAACTGGAAACAGGATGTCAGTAAGATGGCAGAATAGGAGACAGCTGACTTTCCATCCTCCCACAGACCCACTGAATAAACAGCTACACACAGATCAAGTCCCTCTCAAAAAAATCCAGAAACTAGCTGCAAGACTCCTACATACCAGGCAACTGAGAAAATAGCCACGTTGAAATGGGTAGGAAAAGCTGAGCCGCACTCTCAACATAAACCCTATCCTCAGTACAGCACCTTACAATCAGGAGGGAAACCCCAACTCCCAGATTTTCCCTGAGGAGCAAAGGGTTTCGATCACACAATACCCCAACTTATAGGGTTGTCACTGGAGGAATTGGCTCCTAACTTGCCTATTTCTAGGCGCTGACAAGGCCCAGCATTTGCTAGTCCCACATACACTAAAATCAAAGAGCCAGTATTAATGGGCACCCAGCACTTCCCACAGCTACTCCTCCTGGATCAGCATAGAGTGAGCAGGCAAAAACACCCAGCTCTCAGCTTCTCCCTGGAAGGGGTTAGACTGCACATCTGAAGTCCCAACTTTTCCAGCTGCTATCTGAGTGTCTGGCTTGTAAGTAGCCTGCATCTGGGAGCTGACAGACAGGAAATCATTCCTCTGCTGGGAGTCTGAATGAGCAAGCAGGCACTTCTGCAGCTCCTTCTCCCCGTCTTGTTCCACAGGTAGAACCAAGCCTCCACTAACCTGCCTGTCTCTGAGAGCCAGTGCGCGCTAGCATTCATTAGGCCCTTGGGGGCGACAGAGAGTAAAGCAAGGGTTTTAAAGAGTGTGAGGTCCGAATGAGAGTGAGGACATTTGCCACAGATTCTCTTCCCAACTCAGTGCAGAGGGAGTAGGTGATAGACTCCAGCTCTCTGCTTCTCCCAGAGGAGACAAGGAATTGGACCACACATCTAGCATCCCAACTTTTCCAGCTGCAACTCGAGGGATTGGCTCTATCTTACCGGTCGGTCTCAAGGCACTAACAGGACTTGGCACTAACAGGACGTGGCTCATCTTAGTCTCCTGGGGAACACTAAGAACAAAGACAGCAGTTCGGACAAGCACAAAGGTTTGAGAGGTTCCAGAATCTCTGGCTGGGCTGACTGGTGGGGTCTATCTCCTGCACTAATCTGGTTCACAAGGCCAGGCTGTGAAGACTGGCAGAGGTGGCTGTTGTACCTAATGCACAGAAACCAACACAGACAACCCTCAGGAGTTCCCTACCTTTAGATTAGGCTCAGAAATTATCTCCCTAACTTCTTGTTTGGAGAAAGGAGGGACATAGACATAGCTGTCCTTGGAAGACCATAACCCCCAGGACAGTGTATAAACATACCATCCCCAGACATAAAAGTCTAAATCACCCAGCACTCTTTTGACAGTGTAAAATTCTTCCTAACCGGATTATGCCTTAAATATAATTAATTCTCAAATCAAACAGGAAAGGAAAATATGCACTCAAATCAGACATACAAAAAATCAATACACACCATGCACATGCTGTGTCAGACGTGACAGGACCTACTTCCTACTAAGGCCCATGGTCTTCAAGTGGGAGCCACATCCTCAGTGAAGCTGTAAACACCATATCTGATTCAATTCTAATCCACTTTTTTATTATTATTGCACTCATTTTCCTTGCAAACTTTTCTAATTATGACTTCTGTTAGCTTTTGCTGCATAAAACGTCAACAAAAATTTAGCTCAACCTGGAAGACACTGGCAGCTCCTACACCTAAAGTCACATGAAGAGAAAAAATCTCTTATGTGGAAGGAGAAAATTTGATACTGGGATCACGTACCTTTCAGCAACCTCTTTGGTCCAGGGTTTGGCAACATCAATTACAGAAAAAAAGCGCATAAATTTAAAAGTTCTGCGTTTTGTTTATGTTTCAAGAAAGAGTTAAGGGCAGTTTTATTAATCACATTTGGTACAGCTGGAAGATGATAAAGTGAAAGTGCCCATCTTAACCACCTGGAGTTACACTGAGCTATAGGTACCTCTAAAATCAACAGACTCAAAGAGAGAACTTAGTGAGCTTACTGCTGATTTCTTTATATAAACAGATGCAATTAATGAAATACTATTAATTTTCATAAGGCTACTGTATGATGACTTTATATAATTTTCAGAAACAATTTGTTTCTGAAATTCCAAACCTTGAATAAAGAAAATGGTAAAGAAGGATTGCCATCTACTTTTCGTATGTATCAGAAAATTCCAGCATAACAATGTGTCATGAACAGCAATTATTAAATGTGATTGGCAACTTTTTTATTCTTAGCTTAAAATCTTTGTATTATTTATGTATACTAGGCTTTCCATAAATGTTGTTTGAATTGAATTCATATAAGATCAAATGAGTAGAAAAATCAAAGAAGATATTCCTTAGCACAAGGTAGGTAACTAATTCAAGTTTTCAAATAGTGGAAGGTATTGAATTGCAAAATAAGATAGTACCCATCTAGCTGAAAATTACTGTAAGCTAGACCACTATATGCAGAGAGTCTGTAGAGGAAATTGAACTAGAAGAGCAAGAAGATCCATTTACCCTCCAAAGCTCTATGATTCTATTTCTGCAGTCTCACCCTGGACAGAGTGACCCTCAGAGCCTGGTGGACCTGCTTGTTCCGCAGAGTGTAGATGACAGGGTTCAGCAGCGGGGTCACCACCGTGTTCACAAGGGCAGCCTCCCTGTTGGAGTCCAGCCTATTCATTTGCCTTGGTTTCACGTATATAAAGACACAGCTGCCATACATGAGAGAGAGGAAAATGAGGTGAGGTGAGTAGGTGGAGAAAGCTTTCTGTTGTTCCTTGGCTGATGGGAGATGCACGATCGTGACTACTGTCTTGCTGTACGCAATGAGGGTTATGATGAGGGATGTCAAAAGGATACGTAAAGGGAGGACAAAGGCCAACATTTCAACACATCTGGTGTCAGAACAGGATAGATGAATCAGGGGGCCAAAGTCACAGAAGAAATGAGGGATGACATGGGGGCCACAGAAGGAAAACTGGGAAACCTGGACCACCAGTCCAGTGGTGAAGATGAAGGACAAGGTACAGCAAAAGAAAACCAGAAGGAAACTAACCCTCAGGTTTATGATGGTCGGATAGTGTGGAGGCTTGCAAATAGCCAGGTATTGATCCAAGGACATCACAGCCATGAGGAAGAAAATTACTGACCCAAGAAATAGGAAAGAAAAGGCTTGTGTGAGATAAGAAGTAAAGGGAATTGTCTGCCTTCCTGAAAGAAAGATGGACAGCAGTTTAGGAATCACTGTGGTGATAAAACAGCATTCACAGGAGGAGAAAGTGGCAGGTAAAATATACATTGAAGTCTAGAGGCGATGATCAACCCAGGTGATGACGATTATCACCATGTTTCCCGTGATGGAGGCCAGGGACGCCAGCAGATGCACCAGGAAAAGAACGTTCCCTAGGTACTGGAGGGCAGGAAACCCCTCCAGAATGAACTCCCGAATTGTTGTCTCATTCCTCACCTCCAGAGTTATTTCTGTTTTTCTGTCTGTCATCAACTGCTTGATCTGTGAAGCAGAAAATACTATCACCAAAGAATAAAGAATTTAATTGAAGAATTATTTAAAAAACACTACTTGCAGCTAGAATTCTGAATGAGGAATCATTTTATATTTTTAAAATATTTTATTATAAATGATTTTGAATTTTTCCTACTATTAAACTGTAAAAATTGAAGGTTTATTTCTTGTTTTTGAAAATAATTTTTAATGTTCAACTTAACTCTTCTGAAATAATATCTTTGAATAATAATCCATAAGGTAAACAATGCAAAATGAAAATGATTGTTTTCAGACAACATATACAACTAACAGATAACAATGAAGGCTGTCATCCTACAGAAAATATTTTTTTAATGGGGTCACAGTGTTAATTTCTCTACTTCAGATATGATATGCAATGTATGAAGCCCTCCTAAGCACTGACTTTAGCCCTCTGGAAATAGAAGGTATGAAAAAGCCATTTGCCAAAGCCATGTTCCAAAGCAGTTATTTTCCTGAAGTACATTCAGCCTGAGTTCTTTACCCAAGACCCTAGAGTGAGAAGGAAAGTTAGTATATCATAGTATCTCATAACTACTCAGTCCATGGGTTTAAGAGCATCCATGTCTAAAGATGGGGAAAAAGTGGTTACATGACTTGGTTGTTCGGACTCAATGAATAAACATTTAATGGGTGAATCAGTATCCCTCTCACTATACCAGCCTAGCAGAATGAAAGTGTTTCATTCTCCTATTAGTCATAAATTATCCTTCAACATTCTTTTTTCTGGGAATATTTTTGTTACATTGGAAGATTTTGGTGTGGTGGAATTACACCTGTATTCCCATTGCAATCACTAGAGGAAAATTCATTTATTTCTAAAAAATGCCAATGCCTTACTAGAAACCAGATGAATTGATACATAATCTTTGAGGAAGGAGTTTTGGCATCTGTTGGATATCAGTGCTCTAGTCAATAAGTCACCAAAATTAATTTGTATTTTACTTAATTTTTTGACTTGGCCAATCATATTACGTTAACTATGCATGATCCACAATACAAAATTAAACATAGCCAGTCTCTGGTTTTAATATTAGATCACAAGTCATCCCCATGATCAAGTGCTCACCAAGAAGCAGCTCACAGGAAACAGAGATTCTTTGATAACATGCTTCTCTTTTCTTCTAACAAACCAGGATCTTTCTCTCAGGCTAAAGGAAAAGGAAAAAAAGAACACTTTTAATTGAGATGTACCTTTCTTCGACCTATTAAAAAGTCAATGGATTCCTTATGTCTTAAATTAGTAGAAAATTATTAAGGCTAATTTTTTTCAAGGAAGACAGAGATGTCCAAACTCTCTAGGATTAACAGTCATAGTTTTCTCCACAACAATCTGACTGATAAATCCTAAACCATTAAGAAAATACAGACTACCCCAAATATGCACTGGCATTAGCTGATGTCACTATTTACAATTCCTGAACACATTTATATCCATTCTACTGGACACAATGACACAGTCCATCATGAACATCAAACTGGTTGGTTGTGCCTCTATCCCAGAAGGGAATCAGAAAGAAGAGAAAACAGAGGCTAATTTCCTTGTTCGTGGACCTTGTTGTTATCCAATTTTCCATCAGCCAGTTTCTCTCCACCTTTCAGAGTAGGTGAGAATCATTGCCGTCATAAATGAGAACACATTCAAATGTCCTTATGATATATTTACCACAGGCTTATTTACCACCACCAATGAGGACACACAAGGTCCAAAAGGACAAACTTCTGGAACATTCAGAGTTCATTAGAGGAGAATGAAACAAGGGAGCAGGAATGAAAAGCACAGCAGAGTCCCAAGGAACATTTAATTGTTCGTATTTGGAAATAGAGAATTTCAGCCGAAATATATCATAATTAGCATTTCACTGCGTATGGTAACATACTGCCATCATTCTCAATAGTCTACACAGTCTTCTGTGAAAGTCTTCAAAGGTAGATTTGGCATGACTGCCCTAGAGTTGTAAAATTTACCAAATCCCGAATTATATATGTCAAGAAAGACTGGCTTAAGCAACAGAAACACATTTTACAATTAAATTCTTTGCTTTTTCTTTCTTTTTAACCTGGTATTTTCTTTACTGAGGTATAATTTCCATACTGTAAAGTGCACAAATTTTAATTGTACAGGTCAATAACTTTTTACATATATACATAGCCATGTAACCACTATACAAATCAAACAACAAACATTTCCATCTCATCATGTTTCCTTGTGCCCCTTACCAGTGAATAGCCCACACCAAAAGAAAACAACTATTTTGATTTATATCATCAAAATTTACTTTTGCAAGTTCTAGAAAGTCATATAAATGGAATACAGCATGTGTTATTTTTGTCTGGCTTTTTTTTCTCTCAATATGTTTCCTCGAGTTATCCAAGCTGTTTCATGTATCAATAATTTATTCTTTTATATTGCATTGTAGTATCCATTATATATGTACACTACAATTTTCCATTCTTCCTTTGAAGGACATTCATGTCCTTTCCAGTTCAGGGCTAATATGAATAAAGCTGCTGTGAATATTCTTGTATAAGTGTTTTTTTTTTTTTTTTTTTTTTACATTTATGATTGCTTTACTTTTTTTTTTCCTTTTTTTACAGCAAAGCATATATTCCCACTGCTCTGTTGCTGTAGACATTTCAAGGAGATTGGTGTGTTTCTATTTTTTTTTTTTTATTTTTTATAATTCTTTCCTTGTTTATTGCAGAAACATTGGTTTATAACATTGCAAATGTATAAGTGTTTTTGAAGACATAGCATTCATTTCTCCTGAGTATATAACTTGGAGTGAAAGTACTGGATTAACTATAGGATAGGTCTTAACACTATAAGAAATTGCAAAACAGTTTCCAAAATTGGATTTAGCAGTAATGCCTGAGAATTCAAAATGCTCCACATTCTCACCAACTTTTAGTCTTGTAAGTCATTTTTAATTGGAGGCATTCTCTGTAAATTGGTTTTGCCACTATGGAAAACAATGTGGGGGTTCCTCACAAAATTAAAAATAGAACCACCATATGGTCCCGCAATTTCACTTCTGGGTATATACTCAAAGGAAATGAAAACAGGGTATCGAAGAGGTATCTGCACTTTTGTGTTTATCACAGCATTATTCATAACAGTCAAGATATAGAAACAACTGATGAGTGGATAGAGAAGATGTCGTATATATATATATTACAATGGAATATTATTCAGCCACGAGAAAGAAGGAAATCTTGTCATTTGCAACAATGTGGATGGTTCTAGAGGACAGTATGCTAAGTGAAATAACTCAGAGAAAGACAAATAGTGTATGATATCTTTTTTGTTAATCAGTCTTGCTAAGAGTGTAACAATTTTATGTCATTCAAAGAACTAAAGTTTGCGTTGTTAATTTATTTTATTTGCTTTTGATTTCATTGATTCATATATATGTGCTTTCATATTTATATGCATTCATATTTATATGCATATTTTGAGTATAATTTCCTTTTTTTTGCTACCCTCTAAAGTTGGAAACTTAAATGATTAATTTTATACCTTTGTTTTTTTCTAATATAAGCATTAATGCTATAAATTTCCCTCTAAGCATGGCTTTAGGATGCATTCCACAAATTTTAATATGTTGTGCTTTCATTTTTGTGTGTCAAAAATATTTTCAAATTTCTGTAGTGATATTTTCTATAATCCAAGAGTTTTTTAGATATATGTTGTTTATATCCAAATATTGAGAAATTTTCTAGATAAATTATGGTTATTGCTTTCTTATTTAATTCAATTGTGGTTGGAGAACATATTTTGTATATTTTCAGTCTTTTGAAATGTTTTGAGATTTATGATCAAGCATAAAATCAATCTTGGTGAGATTTCCGTGTGCACATGAAAAGAATGTGCATTCTGCAGATGCTAAATGTAATAATCTGTAATTATCAATTAAGTCCATATAGTTGATACAGTTGTACAGATCTTCTATATGCTTAGTGATTTTTTTGGTCTTTTTGCTCTATTAATTACTGAAATTATAGTGTTAAAATATCCAACTATTGTGGATTTTAAAAATTTCTCCTTTTAGTTCTTTCACATATTTTTAATCTCTATCATTGTGTGCATATATATGTACAATTATGACTTCTTGATGATTTCATCCCTTTATCACTATAAATTTACCTCTTTATCTCTGAAAATACACTTGGCTATGAGTCTATTTTTTTATATATTACTATAGTCACACAAGCTTGATGTTTGTTTGAAATTTCTACTCTGTCTGTGTATTTAAATGTTATTCTTATAACCAGCTCATAGTAAGATCTTCCTTTTTACCCACTGTATTAATCTCTCTCCTTTTTAATTTGAGTGCTTAGTCCATTTACATTAAATGTCACTATTGTAAAGTTAGGTTTAACTCTACAATCTTTATGTTTCCTGCTATTCATCTCCACCATCATATATTCCTTATTTTCTCCTTTTTTCTTTTGAATTAATCAAGCATTTTTAATATTCCATTGTAATCAGCTCTCTTGTCTTTTTTTTTTAATTGATGTTTTAATAGTTTTTAACATTGTGACATTTTGGGTTGTACATTTTTGTTTGTCCATCACCATATATATGACTCCCTTCACCCCTTGTGCCCACCCCCCACCCCCCTTGGCCCTGTGTCATCAGAGGTTCGGGGATTCGATCGGAGACGTAAAAGACACTTTCCACTCCAAACAAATGGGCTGAAGGTATATTTTATTATATAGAGGATAGTAAAGGTGACAGTCTGCAAACAGATCAAATAGGTCAAATATTAAGAGGAAAAAACATCAGCCCGACTGGAAAGGGAAAACACCCACATCGGCTGAAGAGAAATGACACAAATCAACCGGAAAGAGAAACACCAGGTTAACCGAAAAGAGAACACATCAAATCAATTACTTCATATCAAATCAATTACTCACAACATCCACGCCCCACTGCCGGGAGAGTCCTGTCAATCGACACGGCTGGGCAAGGATCACACGTCCTGGGCAAGGTGTCCCTTCCACAGGTGGAACTCTCCCCCGGTCTCAGTTTCCAGCAGTTTTTATACCATCAGTAATTTTCAGAGTAAGCAATTACAGAGTTTGCAGAGCAAGCATTTAGTGTTCCCATGCACAAATGGTTATCAGTGGCGTACGTGCACTGAGCCCCCTGGCTAACGTCCCAGCCCAGTAGTTGCGTACGTGCATTGTTCTCTTTGGTTATCGTCCCAGCCCGGCACAGATGGCCAGTCCATCCCGTGCTACGACGCTCCAAGAGCCTTGAAATGTTACAACTTGCAACTCCCTCCGTGAGAGAAGGGCCAGTTCCCACCACGCAGAAAGCAGCCTTGTATTTCTTTTTTGTGCTGGTGGCTGTAGGTCAATGGAGCGGCCAAACATGGCTGTACTCATGTCAAGACACCCTGGTAACCACAATACAATTTTCTCTGTCCATGTGTTGGTTTATATTCCACATATGAGTGAGATCATACAGTGTTTGTCTTTCTCTTTCTGGTTTATTTCACTTAACATAATACGCTCCAGCCCCATCCATGTTGTTGCAAATGGGACAATTTTGTTTTTTTTTTATGGCTGAGTAGTATTCCATTGTATATATATACCACATTTTCTTAATCCAATCGTCAGTCGAGGGACACTTAGGTTGCTTCCACTTCTTGGCTATGGTGAATAATGCTGCAATGAACATAGAGGTGCATAAGCCTCTTTGGATTGTTGATTTCAGGTTCATTGGATAGATTCCCAGTAGTGGGATGGCTGGGTCATAGGGCATCTCTATTTTTAATTCTTTGAGGAATCTCCATACCATTTTCCATAGAGGCTGCACCATAAACAGCTTTATTCAGGTATCATTGATACACAATAAAATGGACATATTTAAAGTGTACAATTTGATAAGTTTTGACATATTTAAACACTGTAAAATCACCACCACAATGACCATAATGAAAATATCCATCAGCCCAAAAGTTTCCTACTGCCCGATTGTGATGACTCCATTTTATGCCCTTTGTTAGGTTCTTAGCTATAACTCTGATTTTTATTTCAGTGGTTGGCTTAGGGTTTACAGTATACACCTTTAATTTCATTGTCTACCTTTAAGCGATATTCTACCACTTCGCTTATAAGAAACTTACAATAGTCTACTTCCTTTTCTACCCCGTCAGCCTGTATGCTATTCTTGTCATACGTTTTCCTTATACATACATTATAAACCCCACAGTGAATTGTTACTACTTTTGTTGAAAGAAATTTACATAATTAAAAAATATCTTATATACCTACCTACATAGGGCTCTCCATTCCTTTGCATAGATCCGTATTTCCATCTGGTATAATTTTCTTTCTCTTGGGAGGACTGACTTTACCAATTATTATTCTCTAGATTTGCTTTTATCTTTTATCTTTCGTATGATTTCATTTTTGAAAGTTATTTTCATGAGTATAGAATTCTAGGTTGGCAGATTTTTATTTACAGTCCCTTAAAAATTGTGCCATTGTATTCTCATTTACTTATTTTCATAGAGAAATCTTTGCTAGCTTTATAGTTATTCCTCTGTATGAAATGTGTCTTTCTTTCTTCTGGCTGCTTTGAAGATTTTCTCTTTACCACTGGCTTTGAACAATTTGATTATTGTGTGCCTTGGTATAGATTTTTTCATGTTTCTAGTGCTTGAGTTATGCTGAGGTTTTTGGTTCTGTTTTCATGAAATCCAGAAAATTTTTGGCCATTATTTCCTTAAGTCTTTTTTGTCATCTCCCCTCCACACAAACACTTCTCTGTCAGAAATCTAACTATATGCATGTTGGGTTGCTTGAAGTTGTCCCATACCACACTGATGCTCTTTTCAGTTTTAGATGGGTTATCTTTTTCTTTGTGTGTTTTTAAAAGTTTCTATAACTATATCTTCAAATTTACTAATCTTTAATCTACAATGTCTAATATTCTATTCATCCCATCCAATAAAGTTTTCATCTGAGACATGTAGTTTTGACTCAGAGAAGTGCAATTTGCTTTTCAAAATTTGCTTTATTGAGGTTTGGCTGACATATAAAAAGCTGTACATATTTAATGCCTACAACTTGATGAGATTGAGATAAGTATACACTCATCAATCCATCATCACAATCAAGGCCATAAACTTATACGTAACCTCCAAAGGTTTCCTCCAATCTCTTTACTTTTGTGTTCTTTTGTGGAAAGAGCATGTAACATAAGATCTACCCTCTTAGCAAAATCTTAACTATATAATACGGTATTGTAACAATAGGCTCTATGTTGTACAGAAGATCTCCAGAACTTATTCATCCTGCCTTACTGAAACTTTGCATAGTCTGATTGACACCTCCCCCTTTCTGTCTGCCCCCAGCCCCTGGTAACCACTATTCTACTCTCTCGTCCTATGAGTTTGAATATTTTAGATTCCTCATAAAAGTGAGATCATGTAGTATTTGTCTTTCAGTGTCTGGCTTATTTTACCTACTACAATGTCCTCCAGGTCCATCCATGTTGTCACATATTTTAAGATGTCCTTTGTTTTTAAGGATCAAAACATTCCATTGATGTATATACCACATTTTCTTTATCCATTCATCCATCAATAGACACTTAGGTTGTTTCTATATCTTGGCTATTGTGAATAATGCTGCAATGAACATGGGAGTGCAGACATCTCTTCAATATCTAGACTTCAATCCATTTGGATATATACCCTGAAGTGGGATTGTTGGATCATATGGTAGTTCTATTTTTAATTTTTTGATGACCAGCCATACTATTTTCCCTAGTGGCTGCACCAATTTACATTTTCATCAACAGTGTACAAAGGTTCCCTTTTCTCCATATCCTCATCAACACTTCTTGTCTTTTGATTTTTTGATAATAGCCATTCTAATAGATGTGAAATGATATCTCATTGTGGTTTTGATTTGCATTTCCCTGATGATTAACCATGTTGAACATCTTTTCATGTACCTATTGGCTGTTTGTATGTCTTTGGAAAATGTCTATTCAGGTTCTTTGCCCATTATTTTATTTGCATAATTTTGGCTTTTTAGTCATTGATTTGTATGGGTTCTTTATATATTTTGGATATTAACAGCTGCATGTGAGCCCAGATTCAGCCCTGACTCCTGTCACTAGCCTGCACAACTGGCCTCACCTTCAGCAAAACCCCCCAGCTGTGCACCTGCATGTCCCCAGGCCAGCTGCTGTCACCAGCCTCCACTGCCATGTGCACTCCTATGGAGAGAGCCTGCTGCCAATAACCACACAGTTTATTGGTCATTCTGGGAAAAAATCATTGACAATGTAATACCTTGAACAAAGAGAATATCCCAAATGTCAGAAAAAGAGACAAGCCTACACAAAAAAATCTATGGAAATTTTTATACATGCATAGGGTGGACAAAATGTGTTCTGTTAGTTGGGTAAAGTCTAGTCTCCTAATTCTTACATAACTACATGCCCAAAATCTTCACAACACAGTCATTTATCATCCCTGCAATCACAGAATAATGTGGTCAGAGCAAAGCACAATAATAGCCATTAACCAACAATGCCAAGAACACTCCAGCCCCAAGGTTTTTCTCACAGTATTTTGTCTCCAAATCTATCATTTCCTATCAAAATCTTGAATAACTAAATTACAGTTGTAATTTTTCCATTAAAACATCCCATCACCTTCTCTCTGCCTGGCTCAAATTATAGTTTTATTCCTATGTGCCTCATGTGTCATATTAGGTAGCAATAGTGTGATTAGTACCAACAATGGACACCCAGAAGTTATCACACCAAGCCTCTCATTCTACAAATGAAGATACTTGTTTATAGATTCATTTGAAGAGACTTTACAGTCACAATAAGTCTTCTTTCTACCTCTGATTAGATACCCCCCAAATTTCTTTAAATTTTTTTTGTAGTAGGGAAACAATCTTAACTATTCAATTCCTTATTCCAGAAATTATAGTGCCTCTCTTCCTGTGGTACTTCATTTTCAGATGTTTGGTACTGAAATCAACCTGGCAAACCAGTTAAACCAATGGCAATGTTCAATTTCAACTAGAGACATTTATACGTTTTCGTCATAGTGGGCACTAGATTTAAAGATTTGTATTCTATTTATATACAGAATAGTCCAAACAATTGTATTGCATTATTTTAACTAATTTTATTAACATCATAACAGACGTGTCCTTCAAAACTCAATATAGTGACCACGTTACATCTATCTTGAACCAATTTGATATTCCTAATACTTGTGAATTTCATTCTCCATCCTCTTGTGCTTACCACAAGTAGACACTTGAAACCACATCTTCCCAATTTTGCGATTCCACGTGCATCAAACAAAATCATATATATGAGGCTCTTCATTAAAATGTGTTGGATGCTATTGATCTAAAACTAGCGAATAGAAGATCTAGGAAGACATTTTCATCTCAATCTAAAGAAGAATATTAGAGCTTTCAAACAGTGGAATATATTAGATTGTAAGATAAATTAGCCCCTAGTCTAAAAACAAAAAAAGCTGAACCTTTAAAAACACATTTGTAAGTCCATATAGGAGATTCCAGAAATAGGAGGGAGATTGCTTTAGATGAAGAAGGTATATTCTCTTTCTGAGAATCTGTGGTTCTACTTCTACACTCTAACCCTGGACAGAGCATCCCTCAGAACCTGGTGAACTTGCTTGTTTCGTAGAGTATAGACAACAGGGTTCAGCAGCGGGGTCACCACTGTGTTCACAAGAGCAGCCTCTCTGTTGGAGTCCAGCCAGTTTGTTTCCTTTGGTTTCACATATATAAAGACACAGCTGCTGTACATCAGAGAGAGGACAATGAGGTGAGATGAGCAAGTGAAGAAAGCTTTCTGTCGCTCCTTGGCTGTTGGGAGATGCACGATTGTGACTACTATGTTGCTGTATGCGATGATGGTTACGATAAGGGATGTCAAAAGGATAAACAAATCAAGGCCAAAGGCCAACATTTCAATAGATCTGGTGTCAGAACAGGAAAGACTAGTCAAGGGCCCAAAATCACAGAAGAAGTGAGGGATGACATGGGGGCCACAGAAGGATGACTGGGAAAGCAATATAACTGGAACCACCATGAAGAGGAATCCCAAAGCCAAGCAGGCAGTGACCAAGAGGAAACACATCCTTGGGTTCATGATGGTTGGGTAATACAGAGGTTTGCAAATGGCCAGGTACCGATCCAAGGATAATACAGCCATAAGGAAGAAAATAGTTGCCCCCAGGAAAAGAAAAACAAAGGCTTGTGTGAAGCAGGCAGCAAAGGAAATTGATTTTCTCCCTGACAGAAAGATGGCCAGTAACTTAGGAATAACAGTAGTTACAAAACAGCATTCAAAAAAGGAGAAACTGCTGAGGAAGAAGTACATAGGTGTCTGGAGGCGATGGTCGGCCCAGGTGATGGTGATAATGAGTGTGTTTCCTATGATGGAGGCCAGGTATGCCAACAGATGTATCAGGAAGAGAACCTTCCCAAAGGGCTGGACAGTGGGAAACCCCTCCAGGGTGAATTCCTGGACTGCTGTCCTATTTCTTGCATCCCCCATCAGTGAATTTTCCATTTTTTCAATCAACTCTCTTTGAGATATTTTGCAGTGTCATGACTGAAAAATGAAGAACTCTGTGTAGGCATGGTGACTGGATTTGTTTATTATTTTAAACATTATATTTTATGTGTAGCTTTTGCCCATTATCAAGTAAAAATAAGTGATTTTAATCTTTGAATATGTTTACGTTAAATACAGCCTAAAATCCTGGATAAATAAGAACTGTGCTTGTGGCTCCAAGTTTTCATAAAGGATAATGTAATTTTAACAGTGCTAGTTATTTTCCTATATAGTCTATTGCCAAGCAGGAAACAAGTCCTTCTTTTAGTTATATATCTGATCATGAAACACATTCCTGGTAAGGCACTACTCATATCAGGCATCCAAAGGTGAATATTTCAAAACGAAAATTGTAGCCTTCAAAAAAAATTTATGGTCATGGAGTCTGTCATCTCACACACAAAAAATATTCCTCCATGATGTCTTTAGGATTTCTCATCCATATTTGAAGTCATAACATCACTTGTAGGAAAACTTCCTGTGGCTCCCACTGCAGCCCTCTAAAGTGAGTTAGATCAGAAGAGTAGCACACGGACTCTAATCAGATTGTTGGAGACACAGCCCAAGCCATTTTCTACAGAGCTTGAGACCAGTGAGTAGGAGAGGAGAGTTTTCCTTTGCCTCTGTGACAAGTGGTCAGTCTAGTGGAGAATCTCTATCTTCTGACTCTTTCAGTCCATATATTTAGGGAACATCAGCCTGAGGATAGAAAGAAGGATTGCATGCCTTGACTTTAGCGATTGTTTTCTGATTCATTCTCTCTCCTATTGTCCATCTAAATAAAATATTATCTTTCACTCTTTAAATCCATAAACTTCTCTTATGTAAGCCTTCGTCACTCTGGTCAACTAGTGTTCATCTCAGGTCCCTGAATTAGCTGTCTGATTTAGCCAAACCCTCACTCTTAGTGTGTGAGATCAGCTTGAAGAGGAGCAGACTCTGCTTCAGTTTACAATAGATGAATAGCAAAATGATCCAATCACACTAAGGCCATGTATTCACCCAGATGCAGCTGTGGGAGATCAAGATTTGGCCACCCTGAAATACATCTCTTTACCTTGATTGTTTTCTCTGAGGGACATTGGACCTCCCCCATTAATTGCCTAAAGAATTTGACATGGCGGCTCCTTCCTGGAACAGATCTTCTATCATGATGGCTGTAAAGATAATGTAGGATAGAGGTTACAATAGGAAAGGCACCAAGCCCCTTTTATCAAAAACTCTGTCTCTCCCTGACCACATTACCTATAGATGACCCTGAAAAGAATTGTCTTCCTGCCCTCTGAAGTCCCAGGCCACTACCCACCCCCAACACGCTCCTCGCCTTTAGCTGCAATACTTAAGCAAGCAGCTTAGACAGAGGGACGAGTTGCTCATTTCTGAGTTTCTCCCACGTATACATGTTATTAAACTTGGTATTATTTTCTCCTGCTAACCTGTCTTGTTAATTATTTGGCCAGCCATAAGAACCTTAAGGAAAAGGGCAGAGGGAGATTCTCCCTCTTCCTCTGACACAGCTCACAGTAACCAGAGCTCTGTTCCCTGATCTTTCGCTCTTCCAACAAACCAAGATGTTGGGCTAGGCAGTTAGAGATGTTAAAAAAAAAGAAAGATAGAAAGAAACCCTTGCATTTGAGATGACCCTAATTTGTCCCAGAGACAAGTTCAACATGTGCACCATGTCTGCTAAGCACCCTTCTTCATAAGAATGCAGAGCTTTCCAAAATTGAGATAAACCAAAGTGATAGCTCCATGGCAATCTTGCCTGATGAACTCCTGGGAAAGACAGGAGAGCACACACTGCCCACATGTTCTATTGGAATCTTGGAGTGAGTTTACTTGGAATTCCAAAAAGCTTTCATACCCTCGTTGCAGCCTCCAGGGTCCTCAGACTCCCAGTCTACTCCTGCATGAGCCACCACCAGCAAGAGATCCTGCTTGCTAGGCAAATGCCTCAGGGCATGGTAGGAGATGATAGCCTCCTCACTCAAACTGGTCACTTGTACACAGTCTTTTTCTAAAATGCATTCCAGGGCAGGTAAAATGCATTACCACTTCCCCACCTCTCCAGATTGAGAGGAATACACATGTCATTGAGAGAAGGGATGAAAGTGAAATTACTTTTCCCCAGAATATACTTCATATTTGACTGTCTCTTGACACCAATCAGGATCCACTGGGACCAGTGGGCCGACACCAGACACACCAGACCTCATTAGAAGAAGATAAAACAAGACCTTCTAGAGATCAATTTCCCTGGATCCCTGGTGGCTGCAAATTGGGCACTGTCAGAAATAGAAAATTATAATACAAACATCACAGTTACTCTTTCATTATGTATGAAAATATAGTAATATGGACTCCCAAATGTCTGAGTTGTCCTCCATGAAAATCTTCAAAGTGGAGTATATATAATCCTCCCAGAGTTTATAAAGTCTCAAATTGCATTATGTTACTAAGGTGGAGTTGACAGGTCAAGTGGGGAACTTACCTACCTGGTGGTAATAAGGTGAAGCTCTCCCTTATTCTGCCAGAGCAGTGTCAAAGAACACCAGATAAAGCACAGAGTTTAAGTACAGGCTAGAGTCTCATAACATAATATCCAAAATGTTCAGGTTTCAGTTGATAATAGCTTGTCATACCAAGAACAAGGAAGATCTCAACTTGAGTGAAAAAAGACAATCAACCGATCACCAACATCAAGATGATAGATATTAGAATGATATGACAAAAGTTTAAAGCAGCCATCATAAAAATACTTCAATAAGCAATTATGAACATACCAGAAACAAATTTTAAAAGTAGAACTTCTCAGTCAAGAAATAGAAGATATAAAGAAGAATCAAATGGAAATTTTGGAGCTGAAAAATACAATAACTAAAATTTTAAAAAAATTAATGGATGGGCTCAACAGCATAATGGAGGGGATAGAGGGAAAAATCAATGAACTAGATGAGAAAACAATAGAAAGTACCCAGTATGAACAACAAAAAGAAAACAGACTGAAAAATAAATAAATACAGACTCGTGGACCTGTGGAAGTATAACAAAAGATCTAACATTCATGTCACTGGAGTCTGAAAAAGAGGAGAAACAGAGTGAGGCTGAAAAAGGACTTGAAGAAACAAAGGCTGAAAACTTCTCAAATTTGGCAAAAAACATAACATACAGATTCAAGAAACTGAGAAAATTCCAAATAAGAAAAATCCAAAGAAGTCCACATCAAGAAACACCATATTCAAACTTCTGGTAATTAAAGACAAAGAAAAAATTTTGAAAGCAGCAAGAAAGACACAACACATTACCCGTGGGAAAGAAAAATTCAAATGACAGTACATTTCTCATCAGAAACTGTGGAGGCCAGAAAGAAGTAGCATAATATTTTTTAAATGCTGAAAGGGAAGAATTGTCAATATCTAGAATCCTATATCTAGAATCCTATATCCAGTGAAAATATCCTTCAGGAATGAAGAGGAGATAAAGACATTCTCAGATGAAGGAAACCCAAGAGAATTTGTCACCAGCATACCTATACTAAAAGAATGGGCAAAGGAAGTTCTCTAAACAGAAAGAAAATTATATCTAGAGCAACCACTAAAAATGCTATACAAAGAGATACACTCAAAAGCATTATAGATAAATCAAAATGGAATTACAAAAAAAGTTCAAGTAACTGACATGAAGGCAGGAAAAAAGAAAACAGAGAAATAGAAAACAAAACATAAAATGGCAGACTTAAGCCCTAAGTCATAAAAAATTACATTGTTAGAATCAATGTAAATGGTCTAGAGACACCGACTAAAAGACATTGATAAAGTGGATTAAAAAATACAATCCAAGGCCTGGCTCCATGGCTGAGTGGTTCAAGTTCCATGCTCTCTGCTTTGGTGGCCCGGGTTCACAGGTTTGGATCGTGGGCGTGGACCTACTCCACTCACCAGCCATGTTGTGGCAGTGTCCCACATACAAAAAAAATAGAGGAAGAAAGGCACAGATGTTAGCTCAGGGCTAATCTTCCTCAAACAAAAAAAGAGGAGGATTGGCAACAGATATTAGCTCAGGGTGAATCTTCCTCAGCAAAAAAATAATAATAATCTGACAATGCAATGTCTACAAACACTCACTTTGAATATAACAATATAGGCAGTTTGAAAGTCAAAAGATGGGAAAATATTTTTCATGCAAATTTTTATCAGGTGAGGACAGGGGTGGCTATATTAATGTCAGATAAAGTAGACTACAGAGCAAAGAAAATTACCAAAGTCAGAGAGGGACATTATACAATGATGAAAGGATCAATCCACCAAGAATACTTAGCAATCCTAAATGTGTGCACCAAATAACAGAGCTGCAAAATACTTAAAGCAAAAACTGATAGAACTGAAAGGAGAAAAAGACAAATCAACAATTATATTTGGAGACTTCACCATCATTCTCTCAACAATTGATAGAACAAGTAGACAGAAAATCAGTAAGTAGAAGAATTCAACAACACAATCAACCTAAGGTTCTAAGCAACAATTATAGAACACTCCACCCAACAACAAAGAATTTATATTCTTTTCACGTGCATATAAAATATATACTGATCACACTGATTGTGCTCGGATTCTGGTGAGAGCTCCCTTCCTGGCTTGCAGATGGCTACCTTCTCCCTATGTCCTCATGTGGTAGAGAGAGATAACTCTGGTGTCTCTACCTCTTCTTATATGGGCATTAGTTCTATTTAATCAAGGCTCTACCCTTATGATCTCATTTAATCTTAATGACCTCCTTAAATGCCCTATATCCAATATAGATATGTGGGGTGTCAAGGCTTCAACATATGAATTTTGGGGAGACATAATTTAGTTCATATTGTGCCAGGATACCAAAACCAGACAAAGACAGTACATAAAGAAAATTACAGGTTAATGTCCTTCGTGAATATAGATGCAAAAATCCTTAACACAAAA